AAGAAACACTAATCAGAACATATACGTTTAATATGCGGTAGTAGCACGATGTGATTTTAAAAATAAACAAAAAAAAAAGATCGACAAGAACAAAAAAACACCTTGTTTGGCGAAATATGTTTTTAGGATTTTGGGATTTGTAAATAATTATAAACTAAGGTCGTTTGAAATTCAAACGTGTTATCTTTCCTACTAGTATGTATCCCGTGCGATGCATGAGCTGTATTTATTTTAAAAAAAATTATAAATTGAAGGTTCTTAGTCAATAAGTTATAATAGTAGGGCATTAGTGAAGTAATCATAAATTATTTGCTAGTAATAAGTCATACATTGTTAAAAGCATTTTTGTACACAACATTATTAGTTTGATTACCGGGTAACTCATTGTCCCCAAAATCTAATATTTTCAACCCCTCCTATTAGTTACATGTGAAATATCAACATATCAACATGAAATTGAAGTTCGTAAAAAAAGAAGGTTCATCCAGAGAAATCGTGAAGTTGGGGATGACAGACTTGTAAGTGATTATTTCTCTGACCATCCAGTCTACACGAATCATAAATTTCGTAGACGTTTCCGTATGAGAAGAGAACTATTTCTTGGAATTGTGAATGCACTTCAGACACGATCATCATTTTTCCAGCAAAACATGGATGCAGTAGGAAGACAAAGTTTGTCACCACTTAAAAAATGTACAACAACTATTCGTCAGTTGGCTTATGGAGTCCCAACTGAACACCTTGATGAGTATTTACGTATGGGTGAGTCAACTGCTATCAAATCTCTTTAAATTTTGTGAAAGTGTGGTTCAAATTTTTGGTGATGTATATTTGAGAAGACCGAACACTAGCGATGTTCAAAGACTCCTCCAAATGCATGAAGAAAATCACGGTTTTCCGAATATGCTTGAAAGCCTCGATTGTATGCACTGGGAATAGAAAAATTGTCAAGTTGCTTGGAAAGGCCAATTCACAAGAGGGCATGAGTCTCCTACGATTGTCCTTGAAGCGGTTACTTTACACATTTGTGGATATGACATGTCTTTTTTGGTGTTGCAGTATCACGTGACAATATCAATATATTATATGAATTTCCTCTATTTAATAATGTATTGCAAGGAAATGCATCAAACGTTCATTTTATTGTCGACGGCACGTAATATGCAAATGGGTATTATCCTAGAGATGAAATATATCCAGAATGGGATACATTAGTAAAGTCTTTTCCTTGCCCGTCAGATTCTAAAAGAAAGTTATTTAAAGAAAAACAAGAAGATGCTCGAAAGGATGTGGAAAGAGCATTTGGGGTGCTTCAGTCTCGATGGGCAATTGTAGAAGGTCCTGCTTGGTATTGGTATAGAAGAAAATTGAAATTTATTATGTTGACATACATTATTCTACACAATATGATTGCTGTAGTAACACACTAACACAATGACGAAGATGAGAACCCGCACAACATGTCCAGGGTTCAAATCGAGAATTTCAAAATTATATCATAGAAGTTCAGATATACGAAATAGCACAATGTATCATCAAATTCGTGCCGACTTTTTTTTTTTTTCAAACGACAGAACAACTCTTCATTGAACATTTAACTCATTTTGCCACCAACTAAAAAGAGAAATGCTATAGGTACATAATATTGTACATAACACTCACATTGAGTGGGACCGACCAAAAATAAAAAATCAAGTGGACCCCACTTCATGTGAGTGTTATGTACACTTCTATGTACATTTATTATGCACTTGTAGCATTTTTCAACTAAAAAAGTTGTTTTTTTAATTGTACTATTTTTTTCTTGTGTAATCTTAGTTTAAGTTATTTTGGTCTTGTAGTGTTATTTTATTTTTATGCATTTAAAACTTATTATTATAATTTAATAATATTAAATTTTTATTTTTATTAAGAATAATATTAAAATTTATATTGAATGAGTGGATAATGGGTCATATATATATATATATATATATATATATGTATTTAAATGAATGGATAAGAATGTGAGTTATGTTTATATTGAGAGATGTTTAGTGGAAAGATGATGTGAAAATGATATGGATGAAAGAGAGTGTTAATTTTTTATTGAATGAATGTATGGATTGTGGATACCCTTAAATAGGTTTCATATGTCAAGGACAATCATTAGTGAATGTTAAGCTATTCTCTGATTACATTGTTTAGCCAATGTGGAGATGTAGGTCAACCGGAAGAAAAGAAAAGGTTGTTTAACCAATGGTTAGTTTGCTCGTTTTCCCTTTTCCATGTCACTAACAAAAGCGATTTGAAAAAATTAATTTAGAGTGATCATGAATTGCTAAAAAATGAAACAAATAATGTTTTGTATTTTTTTATTTTCTCAAACGATTGAAATAATGTTGCGTATATTAACTATTAAGTTGCTAAAAATTGAAACAAATAATGTTGTGTATATTGAGTTCTTCAATATAATATGAATCACTATTATATATATGGTTTTAACTCTTCAACATAATATGATCTTCAAAATATTTTTCTTTGTATTCGTGTGATCAAATGCTATTATATTAAAGCTTTAAATAATCTAAAATAGGTTTTCAATTTGTTTGAGCGCGCTGATTTGTGAGGATTGAATTGATTTCAATCTTGTGCTGCTCACAACCGGGAGAGAACTGATTATTTGTAGGTCTGTAAACGAGTCGAGCCGAGCTCGAACTAAGGGTGCTCGAACTCGTGCCCTTAACAAGCCGAGCCGTGCTCGTTAAATAAACAAGCCAAGAAACGAGCTTGAGCTCGAGCTCGCCTCGTTTATCACGAGTCGAGTTGGAGCCTTAACGAGCCGATCTCGAGCTTTAAACGAGTCGAATTATAGAAAATGATCTAAAAATTTTCTTTTTTCGAGACTTAACGAGCGGAGCTAAGATCGTCTCGTTAACCAAACGAGCTTTAAATGAGCTCGAGCTCAAGCTGAACTAGAGAATTAACAAGCCGAGCTCGAGCCAACGTGAGCCGAGCTCATTTAATTTAATAGCAATTATATTTGTACAACTCATAAGTTGTTTATGATAATTTGTACAAACCAAATTATAAGTGTGCTTTCAACATATAAATTTGCTATTTATGCATCATGTTTAAACACACTACCATATATTTACCTAGTCAATCGATGTTCTGTTGATGCACGGCGCACTTGATTGTGCCGAGGCAACGGTCTCTACAAAACGGATGGTTGGAATGAACAATCACGGTGGAGTGCAACCAGGGTATGGGTGTTCATAAAACCCTTGCGCACCCCAAGAGAATTCCTCCCCTTCCAACCATACAATGTCGAACCATTTCATCCTATGTGTGGGACTGAAACGTAGGATTCTCATCCCGTAATTATCACGATCTATCTGCAAGGAGAATAAAAAATAGTGAAGATGGGACATAAAATTATTACTTGATCAAGTAGTCCATCATAGTTTCTTACCCGTTCACACATACGCCGAAGTTCTTCACCACAGAACCCAGTCGCCAATGCTTCTTTAAGGCCCTACATATTTTATATTAGATGTCACCATAAATATTCGTATCACAATTCCAAAACAAAAAGGTTCCTAAACGTAAATAAAAAAAAAGACGGGGCGCAAAAATGATGCTTGGGGTTTTGTACCTCGATAGAGGGTGGAACATCAACATTAATAATTCTAGTCATCCGTGGAACGTCCCTGGCTGCATCATTCCCATTAACCGCTTCACGCAACTTGCTGCAAAACCATGGACTACTCCAGTACCCCAATATGATGCTCACCATTTCCCTTTGAGCAGAAAAAAGAAAAAAGTAAAACAAATGAGTATATCCATATATTGACACTTGATGCTTCCATGTCATACAAAAAATGCATCTGGCTATTATATCCATCTAAAACAGCAGTTGATTCATTCTTAGTCATCAGGGAAACATAAGGCTTGTTACACTTAAACAGAGTATAACTTGACTTGTATGTTCGTCTTCACAAACCACCTTAATTATCTAAATCGATCCAAACTTTCTTATAAACTAAACTGAATTAAATGGATTAGAAAAAGAAAAAAACAGATCGCATAATGCACATATAATTTCAGCATGGGGGATTGGAAACCGGAACAATTGAAGTTCTCTGATATGTTGGCATGATGTACGAAAAAGAATGTATTTTGATACAATGAATAGACTTTCTCCCCACTAGGAAGCTAAGACTCACAGAGACAATGCATAATGCTTTGAAGTTTTAAAGTGACATCACACGCTAAGAGAATTGGTCGAGTGACGCATTGCCATAGGTTTCTTGTGCCACAAAAGATTAATTTGCCCAAGCACAGAACATAATTATTTGAAGCATGCAACTAGAACCATGATAAATAAAACCAACGATACAGGAAGAAATCAATATAATCATTTTACAAATGGAAGACAACAATTATCACCTCACATAGTAAGTGGTGTCTGTTTTGCGTTGCAAAACGCGTCCCAATGTGACGTCTCTCCTGAGATCCTCAACTCGTTCTTGGTCACTTTTTTCCATTGAGTAAGCCTCTAAGAGGGCAAGCACTTCCGGACACGGATCCTTCAAATAAGAAGATGTGAGGATAAGAAAAATATACTTTATTTGAAGTACTAGGTTTGTCCCCATGAGAAAAATATTGTAACAGCAAGGAATACCTTAATATATGCCATAACAAATGCCTTGTGAAAATCTTCATCTTTTAACAGGTTCGCAATTAGCTGACTAAGGTGGTGTACAAATCTATCATCTCCAACAGCAAGCTTCAGCTGAGAGAAAATATTTTCCACTTGCGACTTAAGCCCTGAGATGTTTTTCACTATGCCAGACATAATCTCAACGCCATCACTCTGCATAATTTATAAAAAAAAAAAAAACAAAAAAAAAAGAACACCATTGTTGTTTCTGTCTATCCTTAAACTAAACAAGATATAAATGACAAAGATTACCAGCACCAGAAAATGAATGACCGAGAAAGATGGATCAGACGAAACCTTAGCCACTGGGTTTGCAGTATCCACGCTCTGTAAACAGCTCATCAATTCAATCAGGAAGTGTAATAACTACTCAATAATAACCAACCAAGAAAAGGAAACTGGATTGTAGATCCATTCATTTAAAGCAAGCTTTTTTAACACACAAGCACACAGACAATAAACTGCTTAACTGCTCGTTCGTGTTATTTAATGCCAGACATACATCACCAAAACAATGTACTAGTATACTGTTAACCCCCAATCATCAATTAACAGCAGCGAATGGAAGGAATAAATAGTCCAAGAAATAATAAGATATACATCATATACGTTAATTAATCGAGTTGAATCCTACCCCTTTCGACTTCTTCATCTCGACAGCAGCTAATGCCTCGGAAGAGCTTGCTGCCCTCTTAATCCCAAGGAATGGTGAAGAATCACCACACATCTCAGGAGTTAAATCTTCATGAAAATCTATTTCGTGTGAAAATCCCATGGATGAAAAATACAATGAAACCCATCTCAGCAAATTTCAAAAGAAATCTCATGGATGAAAAATAAAATGAAAAGGACAACAAAATAAACGTACTGCCAACATCTTTCAGGAGGGATTTGTTAGATCTATTTGGAATTAAATATGTGTAATTAATACATTGGGTCATTATAGTGTTTAGCCAAATTAAGTGATAAAATTATTGTACATTGGCTAAGGAACTTAATTTAGATTGTGGAATGATTAAATGTGGACACCCGATAATATTATTATTTGGTGACGTAGCAAATAATAATATTAAACTAAATGACCTAAATAACATATAATTTGGGTCAAAATTATTTATGGGTGGAGTCCCCAAAAGCCGTGAAAATAAAATGATGCACATAAGGATAAACCATACGGAATAAAATAATAACGTTGGTTGGTGGTAGTTGCCAGTTGGTAAGCTACAGACAATTTTTCATTAAATGTGATTAGTTGTCACTAATCAATAAAAAGAGAGGTTAAAGGCATCATTTGAAAACAAGTTTTTCTTTCAATACGTCCGAAAGGAAAAATAAAGAAAACTAAAGAAAATTCACGGTCTTTTGGAAGATTTTTAAATCTCAAATTCAAATAATCAACATGAATCAATCAGGTACGCTTCCGCTATTAAGTTATGATTCTCGATTATTCAATATGAAAAATTTTGGGATTAATCGATTTATTTCGAAAGTTAAATCCAATTCTAACAATTGGTATCAGAGCCTATTCATATTGAATTAATGGGAATCAATACATATTTGGTCGTATTTATGCTATCAAGCTGTTCAGTTGCTTTGATCATATAATTAATTTTTTTTTTTATCTGAATGCTTTCGGTACTATGCTGTGCAACATGAAACAATTAAATATTGGAAATTTTGAGAACATGAATCTATCGGGAACATTTTTTTGAGTACGCTGTGAGGAATTCAATAAAGTTGCATGATGCATTATTATATGAATAGTATCAATGAATTATTTGCCCCTCTTGCCATATGTTAATAAGAAATTGTGGGTTAAATGTGAATTCATGTTCAGAAAATATTTTTTTATTTTGGTTGACTGGTTCCATGTGAAATTATGAGAATACTGCTCGTTTTCATTAATCAAGTTCAACATGAATTATTTGTTTATTTTTCATGTGATATGGATGAATTATTTGTATGATAATTATTATGGAGTAAGTCATGCTTGATTATTCCATTTAAAGTTTGATAGCCGATATTAAGAAAAATGTTCGGCACTTCATTTTTATTTAAATGGATTGATTGAAACAAAATGTTGCCAAAGCGATATATTTTGTGTAGATTGATTCATTTAAATAATAAAGATTATTGTATTTTTTTGTAATTTATGTGTGTGTTCATTAACCCAAAGGTAAACTGACACATGGCCGAATTGCAAATATACCTGTGATAATAAATCTGTGACAATTATACAAGTTTTCATGTGAATAATAATTCTATCTAAAGATAGTTTTATTATTTGACAGAATTTATTGTCAAGATTTGATTATTACAACAAGTACCACTTACAATTAATATTACTATCCAAAGATTTGATATTAATGTTGTGCTTGGTATCTTGCTATGGGTTTAAACCATATTTGGTTTAAATAATTAATTATGGATAATAATGTGAGTATCTCTGTTTATTATTCTCTTCAGGTTCTTCATCTATGGTATCTACCAACTATCCTGTCCCCACTTTATCTGGGGATAACTTTAAGAACTGGAAAGAATCAATTTTGATTCATTTGGGCTGTATGGATCTAGACTTGGCATTAAGGATAGACCAACCTGCTTCTCTTACGGAGAAAAGCACTACTGAGGAAAAACAGTGTTTTGAGAAGTGGGAAAGGTCTAATCGCCTAAGTCTTATGATCGTAAAGAAAAGCATTCCAGAAATCTTTCGAGGAACGATATCTGATGATATCACTTTGGCTAAAGAGTTCCTTGTCGAGATTGAAAAGCGCTTTACCAAAAGCGATAAGGCGGAAATGAGTACTCTTTTAAAGACATTCATTACCATGAGGTATCTCGGCAAAGGTAACATAAGGGAGTACATCCTCAAGATGTCCAATATTGCTTCTAAGTTGAGGGCACTAAAGTTAGACCTTTCGGAGGACATGCTTGTCCTATTGGTCCTGCTCTCTCTTCCTACTCAATACGATCAGTTTAAGGTCAGTTATAACTGCCAAAAGGAGAAGTGGACTCTTAATGAGCTCATTTCTCACTGTGTTGAGGAAGAAGAAAGAATGAAGCATAAAAGGGCTGAGGAGGTACATATGGTTGGTACCTCGAAAGATAATGGTGGCTTTAAAAGAAAACATAAGGCCGTTAAGGTTGAGACTGCTAAAGGTCCAGATCCAAAGGTTAAACCGGAGGAAATTTTATGTTTCTTTTGCAAGAAATCTGGACACCTAAAGAAAGATTGTGCTAAGTATTCCGCCTGGCGCGTGAAGAAAGGTATATTCTTTAATCTGGTTTGTTCTGAAGTTAATTTAGTTTCAGTACCTCGAAACACTTGGTGGTTAGACTCCGGTTCAACTACTAACATCAGTGTTTCAATGCAGGGTTGCCTGAGCCGCCGAGAACCAACTGATGCTGAAAGACGCATTTACTTTGGAAATGGTGAATCGGTGGATGTGGAAGCTTTGGGCATATTTAAATTATTATTAAGTACTGTACATTTTGTGGAATTGAAAGACACTTTTGTTATACCGTCTTTTAGACGGAATTTGGTTTCTGTTTCTTATTTGGACAAATCTGGTTATTATTGTTCATTTGGAAACAATAAGGTTGTATTGTCTTTTAATTCTAATGTGGTTGGTTTTGGTACTTATATGGAAAATGATAATTTATATATGTTAAATACTATAACTTCCTATAATGAAACCCTCAATGTGGAATCAAAAGGTACTAAGCGAAAATTAAATGACTCAAGTTTGCTATGGCATAAACGTTTGGGTCATATTTCGAGAAATAGAGTTGAAAGACTCATTAAGGATGGAATTCTTGATTCTATTAATTTCTCGGATTTTGATGTTTGTGTCAATTGCATTAAAGGTAAACAAACCAAAGTAAAGAGGATAGGTGCTTATCGAGCTACGGAAGTCTTAGAGTTGATACATACGGATATTTGTGGGCCTTTTCCTACACCTTCGTGGAATGGTCAAACATACTTTGTATCATTCATAGACGATTATTCTCGATATTGTTATCTATACCTCATATGGGAAAAATCTGAGGCCTTGGACATGTTCAAAGCATTTAAGGCTGAAGTTGAAAATCAACTCAGCAAACGCATTAAGATAGTCAGATCTGACCGTGGAGGTGAATATTACGGCAGAAATGATGGATCTGGTGAACAACGTCCGGGCCCATTTGCTGACTTCCTTAAGGAGTGTGGAATAGTTCCTCAGTATACTATGCCAGGTTCGCCTAGCATGAATGGAGTTGCTGAGAGACGAAATCGCACATTAAAGGATATGGTTCGAAGTATGATTTGTCAATCTACTTTACCACGATCCTTGTGGGGGGAAGCACTAAAGACTGCAGTCTACATCCTAAATCGAGTACCAACTAAGGCGACTGCTAAAACACCCTATGAATTATGGACTGGGCGTAAGCCTAGCTTAAGGCATTTTAGGGTGTGGGGTTGTCCAGCTGAGGCGAGGCTTTATAGGCCAAATGAACCGAAGCTAGCTCCTCGTACAGTGAGCAGTTATTTCATTGGTTACTCGGAACGGTCGAAGGGGTATAAATTTTATGATCCCACATCAAGAAATATTTTTGAGACGGGCACTGCCACGTTCTTTGAGGATGTTGAGTTTGGGGGGAGAAATATAGTTTCGGACTTTACTTTTGAGGATCAAGAGATTCCTCAAGAGGAAATAGTCATTCCAGCTCCCATACATTTTCAAGATACAATTGAGGAGACTGTTCATTTTGAACCTGAACCTCAACATGTACATATAGAACAAACTCAACAAACTCAAGAACATACAGTTCAAGAGCCAACGCTTTTGCGGAGATCCACTAGAGAACGTAGAAATGCCATTCCGGATGATTATCTGGTATTTCTTCAAGAAAATGAGGATGTGGGTGACTTGAATGAGGATGATCCGATCAATATCAAACAAGTCATGAAGGTTCCCAACTCATATAAATGGATCGAAGCGATGCGTGAAGAGTATAAGTCAATGCAAGACAATAAGGTTTGGGAACTTGTCCCATTACCAGAAGGTGCAAAACCTGTTGGTTGTAAATGGATTTTTAAGACCAAACGGGATGCAAATGGTAATGTGGAGAGGTATAAAGCACGTCTTGTGGCTAAAGGATATACTCAAAGGGAAGGGATTGACTATAAAGAGACCTTTTCTCCAGTATCCTCGAAGGATTCTTTTAGAACAATCATGGCTCTAGTGGCACATTTTGATTTGGAGTTACATCAGATGGATGTAAAGACGGCGTTTCTCAATGGAGACATTGATGAGACGATCTATATGGTACAACCAGAAAGCTTCGAGGTCGATGACCCGAAGAAAATGGTTTGTAAATTAAGAAAATCCATCTATGGACTCAAACAAGCGTCTCGACAGTGGTATCACAAATTTCATCAAATAATTATCTCGTATGGTTTTGAGATGAATATTGTTGATGATTGTATTTATCACAAGTTCAGTGGGAGTAAATTTATTTTTCTGGTTTTGTATGTGGATGACATTCTGCTTGCTACAAACGATATGAGGCTATTGCACGAAACTAAGAAATTTCTTTCGAATAATTTCGAGATGAAAGATCTTGGTGAAGCGTCTTTTGTATTAGGAATCCAGATACATCGAGAGCGATCTCGGGGTATTCTTGGGTTATCACAAAAGAGCTATATAGATAAAGTGCTTGAGCGTTTTGGCATGCAGAATAGCAAACCAGGAAATACCCCTGTGGCTAAAGGTGATAAATTTAGCCTAAGTCAATGCCCAAAGGAAAATTTGGAAATCCAGGAAATGCAAAAGATCCCTTATGCATCGGCAGTTGGGAGCCTAATGTATGCTCAAGTATGTACGCGTCCGGATATTGCGTACATAGTTGGTGTGTTAGGTAGATACCTTAGTAATCCTGGATTGGATCACTGGAAAGCAGCAAAAAGGGTGATGAGATACCTAAAGAGAACTAAGGATTATATGCTCACATATCGGAGATCGGATCATTTGGAGATCGTTGGATATTCTGACTCTGATTTTGCAGGGTGCCAAGACAGTAGGAAATCTACGTCTGGGTACTTATTTATGTTGGCTGGTGGTGCCATTTCCTGGCGTAGTGCTAAACAAACACTTGTTACCACTTCCACTATGGAAGCTGAGTTTGTGGCGTGTTTTGAGGCATCAAACCAGGGAATATGGTTAAGGAACTTTGTCACAAAGCTGCGAATTATTCCAGAGGTTGAAAGACCTATCAAGATCTATTGTGACAATAAATCAGCCGTTCTGTACTCCAAAAACAATAGGAGCTCGTCTAAGTCAAAGCATATTGACATTAAGTTCCTAGCTGTGAAGGAGAGGGTACAAAGTGGTCATATTTCCATCGAACACTTAGGGACAAAATCTATGTTAGCAGATCCCCTAACTAAAGGTGTAACACCTATAGTATTTTACGAGCATACTGCTCATATGGGTGTGTTACATATTCAGGAAGCTTCACTCTAGTGGGAGCATTTGCTACATATTTTGTCATTTTTTTCTATGAAGTACTTATTCTGATAAAAAATAAAGTTTTGGTTCATGACACTTTGTACATTATATTATGGTACTTAAAGATCTCATTAAGTTTGGACTAGTTGAAAATTGACATGTGCTGATCACATTCATGTAATTTTCATGCCACATGTTCCACAGTTTGATCTATGTCATTTAATCATGGTGATATATGTGATTATTGATAGTTTAGCTGTATCTATTCAGCAAAAACTGCTTTAGTCCTATATTGTTGTGATTAATGGACCAGATTATTTAAGTTCTGTAATAATGACCATATTTTGAGCTCATAAGGTATAATGTATTGTCAAGACACATATTTAATCCAGTGGGAGATTGTTAGATCTATTTGGAATTAAATATGTGTAATTAATACATTGGGTCATTATAGTGTTTAGCCAAATTAAGTGATAAAATTATTGTACATTGGCTAAGGAACTTAATTTAGATTGTGGAATGATTAAATGTGGACACCAGGTAATATTATTATTTGGTGACGTAGCAAATAATAATATTAAACTAAAGGACCTAAATAACATATAATTTGGGTCAAAATTATTTATGGGTGGAGTCCCCAAAAGCCGTGAAAATAAAATGATGCACATAAGGATAAACCATACGGAATAAAATAATAACGTTGGTTGGTGGTAGTTGCCAGTTGGTAAGCTACAAACAATTTTTCATTAAATGTGATTAGTTGTCACTAATCAATAAAAAGAGAGGTTAAAGGCATCATTTGAAAACAAGTTTTTCTTTCAATACGTCCGAAAGGAAAAATAAAGAAAACTAAAGAAAATTCACGGTCTTTTGGAAGATTTCCAAATCTCAAATTCAAATAATCAACATGAATCAATCAGGTACGCTTCCGCTATTAAGTTATGATTCTCGATTATTCAATATGAAAGATTTTGGGATTAATCGATTTATTTCGAAAGTTAAATCCAATTCTAACAGGATTGCGGTTGAAGACGCAAAAGTAACACGGCGCCAATTTGAGGCAAAAATCAACCAAAAAAGAAGTTGTGTGAAATATTCATAAAATTAGAGAAAAATTACAACAATTAACCTAACAACAAACAAGAGAACACAAAACCCTACCTTATGAGCAAATCTTCACTCAAAGGGGGATTGATAGAGACGAGCGTGAAACCTTAAATCCGAAACAGGGCAAATATGTATACCCAAAACTGTGTGGAAGATTAAAATAAAAGTAGATGATAGGTTTCTCGATTGGGCCGACCCGGGCTGACCCGACCACACCTTGATAGATTGCTGTTTGGGCCAGGCCTTTTATTTTTATCTTTTGCCATCCTTTTTTGTTTGGCAAGATTTTTTCGAAAAATTTTATCTCATCTGAGTAAGAAAGCGGAAGGCCGAAAGACAAAATCTTAAGAAACATTCCATTAAATTAAAGGCATATATGAATGAATATTCCAAAATTTCACAAAAATTGCCAAAAAGATATATTCTTAAAAAAAATAATATCAATTCTTGTATTGTCTTATGTATCAACTGGCAAATTTATCACAATTTCTAGTACCATGGCTACTTTTCTACTTACACTTACTACACATAAGCAATGACTTTTTGCTTCGTTCGACAGCCTTTTCCTTCCCAGATTTCAATCTACTTCCACTATCTTTATTTTTCATTGGGGTCGGGGGTAGCACTTCAACTTCGCTTGGCAATGGATCTCCATAATACTTCTCAAATAAACATTTTTTCATGCCAGGATCTGATTGCTTTCCTTGAACTGACACAATCATCTCTTTCTGATCTTTTAAACAACGTAGTAACCATTCATTAACTCTATATTACCTTCAACCATACCAACACACGAGTAAAATTTTGAAAAATTTGGTTAGTGATGGTTTTACGATCCTCGATAGCAACACATTGGTCAATTACCTCACCATCCACGACGAATATGGGTTTCAGTGATGCATGTTTTGTCCATCGGCTAACTATACATTTTTCAGGAATGCTTTCAAGCTTCAAATCTTTGAAAAAAAAAATATATGGCTGCATAATCTACCAATTCTCATAAATTTCTTGCAAGTACATGTCGTTGTGTTCTCATTTCTCTCATAAACAACTTTAGAAATTCCAGTGAGACCATCATCAATCTCGTAGACCGAGTATCTCTCGCCAACTACAACACTGCATACTCGACAATCAAAATAAGTAGCAACGATATCATTTTGTACTTGCCCAAATATTTTTGATGTGTATACATCAGCAGCATGTCTTTCAATCAATAAAGGTGTCTTGAACTGATGTGTATAAGACTCATTTCCCATGTTCAGCTGATCCTGGACATGCCTCTGGGCATCCAATGCACTATCAAAATGCATAAAAAACTCAAGCAAATTAGCATATGGGTTTGAATACTTTCCTAAGAAGCTATTCTCACTCTCAGACATAGAGGTTGTCCTGAATAATCAACTCATTGGAAAGTCTCTGAAAAATGCAGGGATCCAAAAATGTTGCATGTCAAACATTGATTTAAACCAAGCATTATCTTTCAGATCATACTCATCCATCAACGCATTCCATCCTCCCTCAAAATCTGTTGGTTCATCTTTATCTGACCAAACCAAATTATCTAGTTTCTTCCTAAAGTCGCCATCTTTTTTTAAATGAGACGGTACCTTACCTGAAACTTTCAACATAATATGCCAAATACAAAGCCGGTGCTTAGATCCTGGAAATGATCGTTCGGCAGCAATTTGAAGTGCTGGATATTGATCCGTCACAATAATGCAAGGAGCGCATCCCATTGCCTCTTTGAATTTCTCTAACAACCAAGAATACGATTCAACGTCTTTTTTTGACAGCAATCCAACACCAAGGTGACACATTTTTCATGATTATCCTTTCCAGTGAAAGACGCAAATATCATATTGTACCTATGAAAGCACGCATTCTTATTAAGAAAATAGCTAAAAATGCAAGCGCATAAACTACTAGAATGTATAATAGCCTGAATGAAAATTAAAGAACATAAACACAATTTATTAATAGCATGATATAGTCAACGAACGAAATAGCATCACAATTTACTGAAAGTAGCACCATACGTTGTATAAAGTATAACACATGCTGCTAAAAACAACTACACAGTTTATTAAAAAAATGTCTTCAGGGTAATAAGCTTAAACTTACACTGTATGCCTATAAGCCTAAACTTAAATTGTATGTCTATGTTTATGACCAATCAATAGAAAAAGATAACATAGCATAAACAAGTACTTGTTAGTTGAGTATGTAGCGTCAAATGAAATAACGTCGCCGAAAGAGGCATAGTTCTTTCTTGAAATTGGATCAGCCCAAAATAGTCTCGTCAATTTATCTTCTTTGTCAACTTCATATTAAAAAAAAAAAATCTAAAACCATTTGAGCATCAACCCCTATAGCATAAGCTTTCAGGTCTCTTGCAAAATTTTTATAATCAACGCTAATACATCCAACATTTGAGTATCCACCCACGACTTCTTTAAATAACTTGTACGATTGCATAGGTCCAACCATTTGAGCATTAACCCCTATAGCATAAGCTTTCAAGTCTCTTGCAAAATTTTTAAAATCAACGCTAGTACATCCAACATTTGAGCATCAACCCCTATAGCATAAGCTTTCAAGTCTCTTGCAAAATTTTTAAAATCAACGCTAGTACATCCAACATTTGAATATCCATCCCCGACTTCTTTAAAAAACTTGTACGATTGCATAGGTCCAATATTTGCTCTGGCACAATTCAAGACAACGTTTTGGTGACCGACATCCATATTTCTGTTCACTCATAAGATGTTTATGAATTTGGGAAGCTAAAGGATGAGAGTGATACTCAACAAACTTATCAACAACGTACCTTTTTTGGCCAGCAAACTTCATAAACAATTTAGCTTCACAGTTAATACGTTTCGAAACTCTTCTTCGTTTCTTAATACTGTCACTATCTCCATCTGTATGTTCACGTGAATAATTCTTTTGACCCTCCCTGGAGCATAATATATAGTTTCTGATAAAGAACCCGTCCGACGACTTTTTCTTAATTGAACGACGAATATCAAATCCACACTCAGCTGCGTATAGCCTATAAAATTCGTAAGCATCATCCAAACTGCTGAAATGTTATCCGATAAACGGCTTCAATTCGGGTTTGGAATTTGGTACGAAACGCGGAGGCACATCGGTGGATATTTCAACTCGAACATCACCACTTCCGAGTTCGCCTGCATTTGAGACACGAGAAAATTTCCAGTATCGTATTAATTTAATTTTTGACACAGTGCCCATGAAAATTTGCGAAACAATCTGATTTATTGAGGAGATTTGAAGAAGGAAAATGAAATTATTTTCTTATAAGCAAGCCGATACGCATTGAAATAAAGAAGTAGAAAAATACGTAGTGACTTTCTTATAAGCAAGCCAACATCAAAATAAAAAATGTACAGACATTACAGAAAAAGGTAGAAAAATATGTAGTGATTTTCTTTTATACAAAAATCACGAATAACAGAGATAATTAAAATTATAGAACTTACATGTTGATTCCATGCTTGAACAAATACAAGATGATTGTGTCTATAAATTATATACTTTCGTGTGTAATTTAAGTTTTATACTTTCTTGTGTAATATAAGAAATGTTTATTTGTTCAACCTTGATTCTACTACATGATATTTTTGTGTGAATAAAGTGTACAAATACAGTAACTCAACTAAAGAGGATGATTGAAGTAAAAAACAGAAATTGAGTAATTATTACCATTTGAAAAAAAGACCCAATTCGTTTCCTTAAAATCTGCAATTAACATAATTAATAACAATGGCTTTGACAATAATAGACATACATAATTAATCATGGTAATTTCTCACCAATATATGAAATAATCAAGACCATTGATAATTATGTAATCAATGGGTTATGGGTAGGATGGGTTCTTAGTTCTCACACTAGAGATGCGTTCTCATTTGAACTTCATCCTTATATATTGCTATGATTAATTGTGTTTTAGTGCTATTTTTAACTAGGATGTATTTGATTAAAAATAGCAACAAAATTTTTATTAGCATTTATGAAAATGATAGCACCATGTAATATTAAAAATAACATCATACACAATTAAAAATAGCATCAAATATGGTTCTCACGGTTCTCACACCAGACATAGTTTTTATTTGAACCAGTCCCTATATATATATATATATATATATATATATATANTACACAGGATAGAATACTAGTTTATAAGTATATTTGATGTTATGAAAATGTTACCTCTTGATTTTCCACGTGTTTCATTTTTTTTTCTTAAAAATGAAAAAAGAAAAATTATCTTAAAATTCCATACAGTTGAATAGCACAAAGAGAAATTAAGTTGTAATGTTTAGTATGATTACATCCTTTTTCATTTACTACTACACACAAATAACTCCAATATATTTTTCGAATTAAGTTGGTGGTGTTAGGTTGTTATTTTTTTATATTTTATCTCATGTTATTTATGTGTATTGTATGCATGGTTTAGTGGAAGAAAATAATCCTTAACTAAACCTCCTAACAACCTTATAAAATATGTTGATTTTAATTACTATTTTAAGTAAATAAAAACCTTTATATCAGTTATACTAGTCAGTAGTGCACATCCCGTGCGATACACGGAGGAATACATATTTTAAATATTTTTCAGACTTTATTTTAAATATAATTGTTTATATTTTTCACATCTCATCTCATTATGGAAATAAAATAAATACAAACAATGAAAAATATATATTATTAAACACTTCTCTTAACACAATATTTTTATTTAAGGACTATTATTAAACCTTGCAGTTTTGATTTTTTTTAGAAAAAAAATCAATTATCCAATCAATGATTGTTAATGTACAAAAAAATAATGGAAAGAATCCAGACTCTAAAGCAAAACTATTTTTTACTTTTATTTTTACACATCAAAATCATCTAATTTTTTAAGCACTTTCATATCCCAATTTCAATGTTACTTCATACAAATTCATTCAATGATCCACCATTAGTCAAATTACTTATCAAATTAGAAGAGAAATCCACATATTATCCAATATCATCTTTTTTTTTGTTCTTATTTAATTTTTATCAACCAATTAATAGAAAATCCTTTATCTCATCATATATTTAATTATTATGAAAATCAAATTCAATCTAATTAAAGTAACAATTTAAAATTACTACAAAATCAAATTCAATATGATTAAAGTAACAATTTAGACAACATAACATTAAAATTGGGTTGAAAATCTCAACTTATGTCATCCCATCAAAACCAATAAACGGATTGAAATTTTAAATATTTGAGGAAAAAATTAATTGTGCTTTCAAAAAGATTTTCATTTTAACATAAGAAAAAATATAAGAAAAAAAAATCTACACGGTTGTTTATTAAATGATCAAAAACACCCTTCAATTTCTCTCCCAAGAACCCTAGCCGCTGCCCGTCAAAAATTTGTCAATCTCGTGCCTTCCCTGGCGATTAGCCGGCCCTTTCGCCGGCGGATGACCTTCAGCTACGTCTTCCCGCCCCAATTTTTCGCTTGTCGGTGCTTCTGTGCCGATGGTGTTTCTCCCAAGCCGTCGGCAGGTCTCGCCGCTTCCTTCCCGCAGGTCGTAGTTCCATCTTCCGGTTATCCATGTAGAGGCTATGGTGGCTGGCCGTCGGTTGGCTTCTTCTCTGCTCGGTCACCGGTAGGAGCTTGTGCGCTGCGCTCCAGGTTAGTGGCGGGTTGTTTCAAGGAAGTGAGCGGTTGTGGTTGGGGTTGGTTGCGACCTTGGTGGCTCGGCTTGTATGAGTCGCGTCGGCCGAGGTTGAGGTGGGTTGGTTCGTGCCCCTGTGTCCACTTTACTGGTTTTGTGGAGTTGGATGCCCGACAGGCCCGGATTCTGACCAATGGTGTTTGGTCGGGTCACGGGAAGCGGGTCTGTGTGGTGGGGCTGATCGATCCTCCTCGGACTGTGGGTCGGCTTCATCCGTGGAGTGGTTCGAGGCTTGGGACTCTTCCTTTGCTAGGCTTTAGGCAGTGGCGGGAGTGGTGTTCCGGCTTTTCCGTCAAGTTATAGGGTGATTGCTCTTGATTTCGCTGGTGCTTTGTGCGAGGTTCGGTTAACTCGTTGGGGAAGGGCTTTGTGTGCCTTCAGATTAGGTTTTTTATTTTGGTTGTTCTTTGTGTTTGTGTTTTGTGTTTAGGACTGTGTTTTTGTTGGGCCTTTTGGCCTCTGTGCGCCCGGATGTCAAATTTATTACCCTGTTGGGATCCGACATTCGGGTATTACTCTATTGGAGTCTTGTTTAGTTTTGTTCGTGTAGTTGGTTTAGTGTGATTGTATTTTTTGTGTGTTTCCCGAGTATTACCCTGTTGGGGTCGGCTCTAGGCGATCTCTGGATCTGCCTCCTAGTTTTCTAGTCTTTGGTTGTACTATTCAGCCTTTGGCTCCTTTCTCTTCGCACTTTGTGCGGTTTTTATTAATATAGTACCTCTATCGTTTCGGGAAAAAAATAAATCAATAAGCAAAATATTTCATTAATTTTTACTATAAAGAAAAAAAATAAATAATAAATGTTTATTAATATATTTAAAAATATAATTTTGAAATTCAGATAGAGTAAAAGGCGGGATAATTTCAATTTGTTTCAAAAAGTTTATAAAGTGTTTAATATTCTGGTAAATACACCCATAAAATAATCTTACCATTTTAATTTAAATAAAATTGGCAAGTTTATTAATGAGATAAATTCAGTTAGTTAAAAGATTAATTAGCTAGAATATTGTAATAATTATATTTTAACAAATTTGTTAGATAAATATAATTATATTAATTAGTTTGTTAGAAATGTGATTATATGAAAATTAAGGTAATATGAAATGTACCAAATTTGTTTGTGATCTTTTCCTATAAATGTTTGAATTTAAAAATCTAATAACCAAATTAAGATTATATCACCTAACAAAAAAATAAATAATAAAAATTTATTAATATATTTAAAAATATAACATTGAATTTCAAATAAAGTAAAAGGCGGGATAACTCAATTTTGTTTTTAAAAAAAGTTTCGAAAATGTTTTAATATTTTGGTAGGTATATCCGTAAGAATAATCATACCATTTTAATTTACAAAAATTTTGCAAGTTTGTTAAAGAGATAAATAAGGTTAGATAAATAAATAGTTAGTTAAAATATTATATTAATTATATCTTAAAAACTGGTTAGGTAAGTATTAGTTTGTTAGGGTTGTGATTATATGAAAGTTAGAATAAGATGAAATTTACCCAAAAAATATGTTTGGGATCTTTTCATTTAAATGTTTGAATTTAAAAATCTTAGAACCAAATTTATATTATTTCACATAAGAAAAAAAACACATAATAAATATTTATTAATATATTTAAATATGTATTTTCAAATTTTCTATAAATTAAAAGACATGATAATTCAAATTTATTTTTAAAAAGTTTCTAAAATAAGAAATATTTTAGTAATTTGAATAATTATACCATTTTAATTTAAAAAAGTTGGCAAGTTTGTTAATTAGATAAATCTGATTAGATAAATGATTAATCAAATAAAATATTATATTAATTATATCTTAAAGTATTCGATTAGATAACGCAGATAAAAAAATATTATATAAAATATAATATTTAATTAAATTACCACACGATTTTTTTTATTTTTTTAATTAAATTTTATTTACATAAGATATACATTAGTGGTTATTCTAGAATATGTTGGATTCTTTTAACATTAACTAATTACACATGCTTTCAAATTTTTAAATCAAATTTTTAAATTTTTATTTTTTTAATTAAATTTTATTTACATAAGATATACATTAGTGGTTATTCTAGAATATGTTGGANTGTATTTTTTTTTTTAATTTTAAGCAGGAATTTACTTGCTAATTCAAGTAAATCCCTCCCCCTTTTTTTAATAATTATTGAGATAAATGTTGTTATTAATAATATAAATTAACTGAGAATAAACTGATTAATAAAAATTCTTCAAAAGTACAATTCAGAGATGTAGGATTCTTAACTTTAGATGATGATGTACTACTTAATTAGCACTATAAGCAACTTTAAATCATAGAACCCACTCGACATCCATATACATGCTATATCTTAAACGTATAAGCATTCAATAAATCAACTACAGATTTATGATGTACTACTTAATATCACTCAAAACAACATCTACAGATTTAGGATGCTAATATTTAGATGATGATGCACCGAACATGTAAAAACTAATATTTGTCATTAGCACTAATTAAAATTAAGGCTATGTTTGGTAAAATTAGCTGATAACTGATAAGTTAGCTTATAGCTTATATGTAATTTTTGAGCTTATAGTTTATAGCTTATGACTTATAGCTAAAAACTATCTTATATACTAAAAGTATTTGGTAAAATTAGCTGATAAACTAGTTGAAATAAAAATTCAACTAGCTTATTTGAAAAACTACCTAAAGTAGCTTATGACATAAGCTCGTGCTTTTTAAAAAACCTCGTCCTATCAAACAAGACTTATTTGAATACAGGAAACTTATAAACTAATCAAATAAGTTATAAGCTAGCTTATTTGACTTACCAAACATAGTCTAAATCATGGTACCAATCGGCGATCATATAATTCTATCACTAAACGNAAAAAAAAAAAAAAAATCAAAAAGTAACTAAATGGCAAATTACATTCTATCATTCATAATGCAATAAGTACCACGTCATGAATAAATACAAGTAATCATATTGTAGTTTTTTCGGATATTACGGCATATTTTGTTTGGGTATATTCCATCTTTATCTCAAGTTGCATATAATCTCTTATGAACATTACTCCATTCGTATCTCCCATCGCCTAGCACAACTGCCGCTACCAAGACGATTAAGAACTCGCAAACCCTTTCCCTCCACGAATTGTCAAACCGGAAGCGATTTAGTAAATAAATAATATTATTATACACTAAATACTTATCATTATGCATATAAAAAATTACCTTTACAAGTGTTATAATTCAAATATTTAAGGAAATGATTAACTATTATTGGGTATATTACATCTTTATCTTATTAGTCTATCTCAGGATATAGCACAGGAAAGATGGGTTAAGTTCCATATAATCTCTTCATTACATTATTCCATTCTTATTTCTCGTCGCCCAGCACAACCGCCGCTACCAAGACGAAGAAGAAGCTGCAAGCCCTTCCCCTTCAGGAATTCGTCAAGTTGGAAGCGACCCAGTAAATAAATAATATTATTATACAATAAATATTTATCATTGTGCATATAAAAAAGAATATTACTTCTATAAATGTAATAAATATTAATAATAATTATATATGACAATAAATATTAAAATAAACTAATATTTGAGTATTATGATGAACAAAAATAAGAATTTTTTTTATCAATATTACATAAATATGTTAAATATTATTTATATTAGTATAAACGAGTCATCAGACTAATATATTGTTAAAATTAAATTTTAAAAAAAAAAGTTTTAAGGTTCAAATTAATCAGTGCATCCCACGAGATTCTTACTAGTTTATCGGATGAGATGATTTTTTTTTTGGAAAAAAATCTTCAACCAAAAAAATAAAAAAATAAAAAAAAAAATAAAAAAGGGGAAAGATGTGAAAATTTCTCCAACTAAAAAACAGAAAAAAGGAGGGAAAATTAATCGAGAAACCTAATCGTGTGTGGAATCAGCTTCGGCCCAATCGAGAAACATAATCTTACCTTCCAAACAGTTTTGGGTATACATAATTGCCCCCGTTTCGGAATTAAGGTTTCACGCTCGTCTCTAACAATCACCCGTTTGGTGACGATTTGCTCATCCTACTGAAGGTAGAGTTCTGTGTCATCTTATTTTGCTATCGGGTTGATTGTTGCAATTTTTTCTCTATTTTTATGAAAATTTCACACACATTTTTTTTTGCTGATTTTTGCCTCGAATTGGCGCCGTGTTGCTCTTGCGTCTTCAACAGCAATCCCTCCTGAAAGATGTCGGCGGTGCGTTTCGATTTTGTCATTCTTTTCATTGTATATCTCATCAATGGGATTTCTTTTGAGAGTTGCTAATAAGTTTTTACATTGTACTTGTCATCCATGGGATTTTTCAAACGACATGGTTTCCAGGAAGATCTAACTCCAGAGATGTGTTGTGATTCTTCACTCTTCCTTGGAATTAAGAGGGCAGCAAGCTCCGAGGCATTAGCTGCTGTCGAGATGAAAAAGTCGAAAGGGGTAGAATTCAACTTGATTAATTCACGTATATGATGTATATCTTATTATTTTTTGACGGGTTATTCTTTCCATTCGCTGCCGTTACTTGATGAGTACATGTATGCCTGACATTAAATAACACGAATGAGCAGTAAGCAATGTGTGCGTGTGTGTTAAAAAAACTTGCTTTAAATGAATGGATCTACAGTCGAGTTTCCTTTTCTTGGTTGATTATTATTGAGTAGTTATTATACTTCCTGATTGAATTGGTGAGCTGTTTTCAGAGCGTGGATACTGCAGACCCAGTGGCTAAGGTTTCGTTGTCTGATTTTGGATTTACGCCTGAAACTGTACAATCCTATCCATCTTTCTCGGTCATTTATTCTCTGGCGCGGGTAATCTTCGTCATTTATATCTTGTTTTGTTTAAGAATAGACAGAAACAACAATGGTGTTCTTTTCTGTTGTAAATAAACTCTCTCTCTCTCTCTCTCTCTCTTTCTCTCTCTCTCTCTCTGTTTTGTTTTTTCTTATTTTGCAGAAACGTGGCCTTGGGTTTATGGCTGGCATAGTGAAAAACATCTCAAGGCTGAAGTCGCAAGTGGAAAATATTTTCTCTGTGCTGAAGCTTGCTGTTGTAGATGATGGATTTGTAGGACATCTTGGTGGGCTAATTGGGAGCCTTTTAGACGATGAAGCATTTCACAAGGCATTTGTTGGGGTACTTATTGAGGTATTCTGTGCAGTTACAATATTTTTTTTCGTGGGGACAAACCTAGTACTTCAAATAAAATATATCATTCTTATTCTCGCATCTTCTTATTTGAAGGATCAGTTTACGTATGTGCTCGCCCTCGTAGAGGCTTACTCAATGCAAAAAAGTGACCTAGAACGAGTTAAGTATCTCAGGAGAGACGCCGGATTGGGATTCGTTTTGCAACGCAAAACAGATACCGATTTCTTTATGAGGTGATAATTGATATCTTCCATTTGTAAAATGAATATCTTGAATTTTTTTCCTGTATCGTTGGTTTTATTTATCATGGTTCTAGTTGCATACTTCAAATAATTATGTTCTGTGCTTGGGTTTTGTGGCACAAGAAACCTATGGCAATAATGCTTTGGCACTCGGACCGATTCTCTTAGCGTATGATGTCACTTTAAAACTTCAAAGCACTATGCAATTTCCCTGTGAGTTTTAGCTTCCTAGTGGGTCTAATCCATTTAATTCAGTTTAGTTTATAAAAAGTTTGGATGGATTTAGATAATTAACGTGGTTTGTGAACGCGGACATACAAGTCAAGATATACTCTGTATAAGTGCAACAAGCCTTGTGTTTCCCTGATGACTAAGAAATGAATCAGCTGCAGTTTTAGAGAGGGACAGAAGCATAAGGCTATGGGGTCTATTGTGTGATAGAATAGCCGGATGCATTTTTTGTATGACATGGAAGCATCAAGTGTCAATTTATAGATATGCTCATTTATTTCTCTTTATTTTTTCTTCTCAAAGGGAAACGTTGAGCATCATATTGGGGTACTGGAGTAGTCCATGGCTTTGCAGCAAGTTGCGTGAAGCGGTTAATGGAAATGATGCAGCCAGGGAACTTCCACGGATGACTAGAATTATTAAAGTTGATGTTCCACCCTCTATCGAGGTACAAAACCCCAATCATCATTTTGCGCCCCGTATTTTTTACGTTTAGGAACCTTTTGTTTTGGAATTGTGATACGAATATTTATGGTTACATCTAATAAAAATATGTAGGGCCTTAAAGAAGCATTGGCGACTAGGTTCGATGGTTATAAACATCAGAGTATGTGTAAAGTGGTAAGCGAGACACACTCACTTATCTCCGTCTCTCTGTGGCAACTATGGTGCAGTATTTGTATGTCTATCTTCACTATTTTTTGTTCCGTCTCTCCTTGCAGATAGATCGTGATAAAAATCTTTACAAGGTAAGCGTCCTATCTTTCAACCCCACAGATACGATGAAATGGTTCGACATTTACTGGTTGGGCGAGGAGGAATTCTGTATTGGTATGTCCGGTCACTATGAACACCCGTACCCTGGTTGCAGTCCAGTGTGATTGTTCTTTCCAACCCCAGCTACTTGTACTGGGATATGTTTAGATTTATTTTGTGATGTTGAACATTCTATTTAATTTTGTTGATGTTGGACGACGATAATCCCTCTCCATTACAATTAAATTAGTGTTGTTAAATTAAACGAGTCTGGCACGGCTCGACTCGAGCTCGGCTTGTTAAGACTCGAGTTCGGCTCGACTCGTTTGGTAAACGAGCCGAGTTCCAGCTCATTTAAAGCTCGTTTGGTCAACGAGCTCGGCTCGTTAAGGCTCGAAAAGAGAAATTTTATATAATTTTTTATAGTTCGGCTAGTTAAACCTCGAGATTTACTCGTTAAGTCTCGAAATCAACTCGTTATTAGTGATAAATGAGTCGAGTTCGGTTTCAGGCTCATTTACAGGTCTAATTACAATGCCTTTCTTTAGTCTCGAGGGGTGAACTAGTACACCCGAAAGTTGAAAGTTTATGTACTCATTCATGACCTATTCACCATTGTGATGTACGAAGATCTTCATTGGCGTATCCA